TACAAAGCGATAACAGCTTTGCATGATAGAAAGTTGGTTGTTAAATTAGTATTAATATACTGATGATATGATATTGTAATGCTTGTGATTTTGCATATAATTAGTATATTTAAAATATATCGGGTAATTTTGCTTCACTCTGTTATTTATGGGAAAACTTAACATTCTGTTTAAATCCAAAATACATTATTAACCTGAACATCATAACTCCGATTTTAAACAATTTTTATAGTAAAATCTATCCGTAATTTGTGAATGTGAGTTTTTTATATTGATTTTAGGATATACTCATTAAATGGACTCTAACATAACAGACGAGTTCTTCTTCTTGTTTCTTCTGTATTTTTAATAATAATGAAGAATTAATTACAAATGTTTAAGATAATTATTTCTCGAGTATGAGAGAAACATTTCCGTATCTCTTTATGTAATCAAATAGGTGCCTCTACAATTCGAAAGAAATCAAATCTTGCGTTATGCATATCGAAAAATACAGACTTACAGGAAATACAGTAATCACAATCGTCAATAAAAAGCATTTTAATTACACCTGTAAATTGAATATCGTCTAAGAATCTTAAAGTAACTTTTTGCAATTACACTTGGGTCTCATAAAACGGTAATCTATCATACATTCCTTTTTTACTACGTCTTCCTTGTTAAACCTGTACGTAAACAAATGACTTCCGCATAGCAGCGAGCTCCCTTGATGATTATCTAAGATGCACTTCGCAAGCTAATCGCAAAATCGTATGGAATGTTATTAGTACTTTCATATATTCAACGGTATTTCGATTAAATTGCCTTACATGGGAGATTAGTACTGACAAAAAGTTAAGCATGCCTATAGGACGTCAAGAGGTTTTTGTAGATTGACGTAGCGCTTAGTTTTTTATCGCATTAAGGCGATAAAATTTATTGTAAATTAATACTTTTTATTTATTTTATTTATTGTGGTTTTATGTTGTTTTTAGTCTGAGTTTAGCCATGCAAGGGCTGTAAGTAAATAAATAAATAAATATCGCTTATTTAAGCCCTTTGCTAATTTATTTTCTCCTTGCTATGAAACCTCTTGTCAGCAAAAAAATTTTACGAAGTCGACATGGTTAAGAAAAGTCGAATTATAATAATGTTTAAAATATATTTTACACTTATTAATATTACTTATGAAGACAAATCTAATTAAATTACTTTAATTTTCAACTGTTGACACATATTAATTTATTTGTAAAACCAAAGCTAATTGTGTCTACTGTCTATAGAGAATATTCTCTGTACAGGTTATAAACACCACGCTTTGCATTGTTTATCAAGGCAAAAACAAGACGATCTATAAAACTGTACCAGAGACTACAAACTAGAATGCATTAATAACGGGATGTGTTCCCACGAGTATGTAAATAAACTAACAAGTACGCGTTTCTCGGAATAGGGTTTAAAAAACTTATTGTTTGACAAATATGGACCCGTACTACATCAATCTATGAAGGTTGGTAGACGTATTTTTTCTAACGTGTAGTACTGCATGGATTTATTTACAGATGACATCGTTATTAGTATGGACGAGTCGTACCACAAGGTTTTTTTTTCTGTCTGGCATAGTTCTACGCTTTTCTATTTGTTTATATTGGCGCACGGACTAGAAATAAGTTAAGTTTCCGTTACATTAAAAACTGTATGCTTTGCCCAGGAATATTATTATTATTATAGCCTCTTTATTTCCAAAATGAATAATATATTAAACAAGTATATCATATGATTAATTTACATAATATGTGCATGCATTGAACAAAATAAAATATTACTATTAATAATCCTTAAATTTAAATGAATGCTTTGCCTAGGAATATATTACTTTAGTAAGTTTTAAAAAAGCAAATATTGAGATAAATTATTATGTTAAATATGCTTTTTTGGGTACTTCATTATAGAGCAAGAATAGACAAACTTTTAGTATAGTTCCCTTTACGTAAGTTAAGAGGGGTCTTTTGTAAAGTAAACTTCAAAATTTCCCCTATTGAGTCAGTCTTGCTAAGTTTCAAAAAACCGAAGAATTTATAAATTCGTGATGTTGATTATTTGGATGCTCAAACATAGGTCCGTTGTCCGTGAACCGATATGGATGATCGAGATGTCAGGATATATCATTATATTTTTGCATCGACGTCCAAAATATGCTGCATTTTTGGTCTTGAAACATTGTTATTAAATACTTTTTAGCGTATTTTGGATACAAAAAATTAAATTCTATGTAAATACAAATCTATGTTATAAAGTCATGCCCATATTAGGAGCGTCTCTAGATGACATGTTAAACATTGTGTTCATCAGTTATAATGTAAATGAGTGAAACGATCAGTTAAATAGACCGCAACAGGTTGATTGAACACAATGCTATTTTATGTATATCAAATCTAAGTAGATATACTAACTGTAAATTTTAATTGTGACGCAACGTTGAATTTACTCATAATTCATAGTAGCATCTTCCCATTTTATTGTATATTTTTTATATTTTACAAATAGACTGCCATGTATGTTATATTCCGTGACTGACTAAATCTAATCTAATATATAAAATTCTCGTGTCACAGTTTTCGTTGCCATACTCCTCCGAAACAGCTTGACCGATTCTCATGAAATTTATTGTGCTTATCCGGTATCTATGAGAATCGGCCAACATCTATTTTCATCCCCCTAAATGTTAGGGGTAGTACAACCCCTAAAATTTATTTTTTATTTTTTAGACAAAATTTTTAATTTCAATTTTTTTATGATACGACATTAAAAAATACATACAACCCCTAATTTTCATCCCTCTACGATCAACCCCTATTTTTATTATAATTGATATACATGGCAAAACGACGTTTGCCGGATCAGCTAGTCTAATATATAAAATTCTCGTGTCACAATGTTCGTTCCCATACTCCTCCGAAACGGCTCGACCGATTCTTATGAATTTTTTTAAGCATATTCAGTAAGTCTGAAAATCAGTTAACATCTACTTTTCATCCCCCTAAACGTTAAGGGTGGTCCCACCCCTAAATTTTCATTTCTATTTTTTAGCCAAAACTTTTTGTTTCTATTGTTTTATGATATAAAAATACATACAACCCCTTATGTCACCCCTCTACTATCAACCCCTATTTTTATAGTAGATAGTTATATTTATTGAACTAAAAAAATGTTTCCTAGAAATAATATACATGGCAAAACGACGTTTGCCGGGTCAGCTAGTATCTATATATATGAATATATATCATATGTAATAATAAAATCATTTTGGGACACAAAAATTCCATATAACTGCTTAATGAATGAAATACTACCTGGATGAATGTTTTAATAAATCTATTCAATTTTGCCGTTTATGCGTGAATAAAAATTATCTGCTAAGCCCATTCAATTAACTAAGCCTTATACGGCATTATGCGGCCATAGTAGACATATTAGCTAATTATAATGCAGCATCTTGAAAATACATAAATAATCCCAGATATCAATCATATTTTAAACACAGCTGTCACTGAAAAAAATCCCATTTCCATGCCGTTGAATCTTATATACTTCCGCGCTTATTTCTCTCTATGTTCAACGAATCATTATCTTAATACTTTAATCTCTTTGAGACGTATGTATGCTACTCGGTTTCACATTTATAAAACTAAGATTTAGAGCGACCTGAGTGTACTTCAAAGCAAATATGGCAATAATTGATTAATGCTAGATGGAGTGAGATTTCGTTTCCGGGAAGTGAAAATCAGAGTTATGGACGCCCGTCCACTATATCAAGTAAACTAACTGTGCCTTATTTATGTCCCTCCCACACTTTGTGGTTAATATCGTATTATCCAATGCTTTGTGGCAAGGAACTTACTTATAAACGGGAATAATACATCTAAAAAGCTAGTAATACTTTGCATTTATCCTACAAATATTATAAACGCAAAAGTTTGAAAGTATGGAAGAATGTTTGTTACTCTTCCACGTAAAAACTACTGAATGTATTTTAATGAAACTTTACAATAATATAGCTTATACATCAGAATAACACCTAGGCTACAATTTAGAAAGATATTGTGTGAATTGTCCAAAATATCAAGTAAGTAAAAAATCGACCATCTGCGAGCTATTCTGGCTGTGCGCTGCCAAAACCACTAGAGTTACACATATTAATGCATGATGGAAATGTTTATCTTTAATAGTCCTACAAAGCCCGCCACGGTTATCTAGTAGTCTATATCTTATGAGTAAGCCATATTATAGAAAAATTAGTGAACCATAACTACAATAAAAATTGATCATACCTTTTTAAATGCACATTTGGTAGTAATAAATTGATTCCTAAATGAAAATAATAGATACTTTTATCGCTTCTGGTATTTGAAGTAGATATAATCATTCATACTACATCATTTCGACAAATATTATTTTAATCCTGCGCAGACGAAGTCGCGGGCACCTGCTAGTAAGATATATAGGTATTCGGTATAGGTTTCGTTGCAAGTTTTACGAAGTTGTTTGTGATTGGTGTAACTTACAAAAATAATCTTTCTTCTATATTTTAGTAGAAATAATTTGGACGTAATCAAGTGCTAACTAGTAAAATGGATAAATATTAGTATTAAACATTTGATTAGAAAGCTAAGTATAGGAATTTCATTCCATACGACAGTTATCAATTAAATCTTCTTAACAATGTTGCATATTTCCTGTCTCGGTAATCTACCACATGAATGCGCGCATAAAATACTTTTCCTGAACACATCAATTTGACGCCTTTCTCCGTGTCTTCATCACACAAATCTAACCTTTATGGTGTACACCTTAACAGACATTATTCCCTCATGCAATTTCTCACTGTAAATCCAGTTGGTGGGATGCATCAACTTCCGTAGAAACTTGTTATGAAACTTATATTCTATCAATTTCAATGGATTTATCGTTTTGTTTTTACACCTTACATGATTTTTAATATCTGTTTGTACGTTTTGCAGGAAGAATTGGAGACACTTAAAGCGAAGTTGGAAAGGGTGGAAAACGAGAAGTCTCACTACAAGAACGAGTCCGAACGAGTTGAAAACAAAGTAAGTAATAAATAAATTATTAGAATGTTTCCGTGGATCACGCTCTAATTTAATACGTGAAGTAACTAAATCGAGACAAATTATGACTTAAGCAAGCAGCTAGAACCTAATTATGGTAAAGTTAATTACTTTAAATTACCAAGACATTTTAAATGCTTACACGTTTAAATATAACTTTTTAATGACGCTTTAAATTATTAAATGTATTTTTCTATAAATAGAGGTGATATTAACTCAACTTAAATTACTTATTAACTTAAATTATATAATTATTTATTAACTTATTAACTTAAATTACTCTAACGTAACGTCTAAAATAAGTCTTCGATTCACGCAATAAGTAAAGAAGATATATCTCACATGACAAAAGAGCGACAGACGAAGTTATAATTTCCTCAGTGAACCAATTGAATTGGATAAAAAGTCTGGGAATATAAGTGCGCACAGCTTCTATAGAAAACTGAATATGAACGGAATTATTTAACTTATGACTTCTGTCATTGGATTATTTTCCAATAGTTCCTATTTCTGTGAAATGGCTTAATTCTGCGACTTTAAGGAATTGATCTATCAGCGTTTTATCTATATTAAAGAAATTGCGTAAGATTCTAGCAAAGGTACTAGACGATATCTTTTATCCAAGATCTACTTAATATTTAACCTATTTTTAATTATGGTGATGCTGCAAAGGTTATTCCGCTCCAGATGTTTTCTTGCTGACTATAACGCTCAAACATGAGCTACCGATCGAAGAGAGTTTGTAAAGTCTGCAGTTTCCAGGTCTACTAGGATGGTTTTGTTGATTGTATAATTTGTCAAAACTGTCGCTTACATTTGTGTCCCGATGCACCTCGGCTAATGTCAATGACACTCACAGGTTTCATTAATAAACAAGCAAATGCCGACCAATCTACAAGTTTTTTGATCTCGAAACAAGTTTCGATTAAGACTAGTTTTTGCCGTCAATTGTGCCTGAGAAATCGTTTAATTTTTCCAATCTTGCGCTTGATTAGTCTGAGTATTTATAGCATTGAAAACAACCCACTAGCTAAGGATCTACATTTATTCATATGATATTTTATTGAAAAATACAAATATCTTAAATATAAATATTTCCATACTTTAATAGTTTTTTACTTTTTTCAACATAAATAAATAAGAAGTACATCAATGTTACAGTCAATTCGTATGTTAGCGCTTTGTCAAAGCTTCCCTATAATGATCGTTAAGAAAGGTCTAACAATCTTAAAATATTAAAAACAAAATACATCACTGTGTCCACGTTTCTCTTTCTATAATATTTAAATGCTCATTAGACTGCTCTAATATGTATTTAAATTTGGAACCCGAGTTCCAAGTTTTACAATAGTAATATTGTCAATACTGCCATCTAGTGGGGCTACCCAGAACTGTGAGACATACACCAAAACCTTTAAATAGGCCAAATCCTTATGGATAATATAATTACTAAAATGCTGAAATATTAAGTAATCTAAATATTTCAGCATTTTAAAGTATAACCTTCACAAAAACAATAAATCTCTCCCAATGCGTATTGATTACGAATGCAAACAATGGCTTTTGATTATCGTCAATGATGTTCAGTGATGAGGAACGTAATTTATGACAGACAGTCGAGAACAAAAGGCCTTTTTTATCTTCACACGGTTTCAGAATAAGTATTATTAAACAGAATAACTTTTTACGTCACCTTCAGAAATTCTTCCAAAGTAATATGTTATTCCATCGGGTCGCCTTTACTACTAACTTAATAAACGGTACTTTAATTTGTTATTTTAGATGCAAATTAAGTTAGCTTTCAAAACTTTGTCAATCTCACAGAAGAGCTATTAATTAGTGATGGCGCTGATGCAGTTGTTGTGAAAGACGAGGTAAACGATGATCAGCGCCATCTGTTTTACCGGGGATTGAACACATGTACAGATTTATGTTTTTTCTATTTGGTACGGTTAAGGCTATTTTACAACATTAAATTAAACGAATAGCAATAAATATGTTTTTTTAATAATGACAATTGTTGCAATAATATTTGTATTGAACACTTAAAATGAATCTCATATAATTGTATATACATATATCTAACTGGCTCGTGATTACATTCGCGTGTAAAATTTACTAAATCAAAGCATCAATCTATTCTTCTGCGTTATTCTGAACAACCTCTATTCCACGAGTTAAGGATAAACACTTATTAGTCCTCGCAAAATAGTAAAAAACGTTTCAAGTTTTATCATTTTACTGTGACTGTACATCAATAAGATATTCTAGCTCGCCTTTAACCAAGGATTTCTCGTTACAATGTTTAGTACTCCAGCAGAGAATTACGCTCACTGTTTTTCTGAAGAATTTGTATTTATACATTGTGTAATATATATAACAGTGTAAAGATACTGCATATATGCATGTGAGTAATTTTCTGTGGGTATAAAACAAGAATGGTCTTTGGTCTTGGATTTCTGTATTTTATTCGTCAGCACTTTTCTGTATAGGCATGTAATCAACCTGCTGTGCTTATTGTCGTTGTTGGGTCTAATGGTAAGATTCAAAATCGACACGTAGTGCTATGTATGACTTCCGATGTTCTCTATTTTGCTCAGAGATTTACCACTTACGCGTGCATTGCGCACACTTAATAATATTGCGGTAAAGACTTGTATTGACTTATTCAGTTTTATAGACGGAATTCATTAAAGTGGCATTATCCATTATTAGTCCATTATGTCTTAAATTTGAATCCGAGGGAAAGACATGCTGGTTTTTCACGTTGATTGGTTTTCCTTCACTGTACGAGCTAGTGATATCTTAATTACAGATTTTGTAAGTGATAAAATTAAAACAATGACGGGTTTAAAATATCATTGTCTAAATTTTATTAATAAATTATACTGCGTGACAATATTAGCAAATAAGATAAGGTTATGATTTCCATCTCAGTTAATATAGATCAAAATTGATTTAGCCTTATTCAAAATAACAAACTCAATAACACATTCGTAGATGTTTGGCAAACAAAAGTTTTAAAATAGATGACAATTGTTACGCTAAAAATGTTGAATGAATTTTTCTGTCATTACGACGTATTGGCTCATTTTTCTTAAGGACAAACATAAAATAATTCAAATACTTTTTGCTTGTAATTAGCGAGTATCTATACTGATCAATGTACATCGTGAAAACTAGGCTTATGATTTATTTACATTAAAAAGTTATATTTTTACAGATTCAGAAGATTAGTTAATTTAATATTTTAGTTATGCATATTGTCTTAAATCCAATGTTAAACGTCTCGGTCAATTCACTCGCGTCGCAGAAGCGTGAATGTCCCAATTTCGATGATTAATATATCCAGAAATATCGTGTGCACTCGAAAATTTGTTGATGTTGTAGTTAGATTTGTTATCTGCTAGCTTTGATACATACATAGAAGCTATTTTCGGGAACCAAATAAAATTACAAGTCAGCTATTACATATTTACTCACCAAGAATACATTTTTAAAACTAATTTGAAAATGCCTAAAATTGTCAAACACCTGGGATCCAATAATATCCAAAATAAAATCTCAAGATAAACAATCCGCGAAAATAGAGGACACCGTGAGCCATTTTTGCCAAAACCCTCCATCCTTTAGTCGATACCAACTACGGGGAAATAAATACAGATAATGCAACTTTTTCTACAGCTGTGATACTTTTTGACATCCAACACCTTTTGTGTTCAGTCACCGTGACCACGCACGCTGTAAAGCACCCGAAAAGTCGGTTAAATTTAAAATTATGTTAAATAATTGTAAATTTATAATAATACATAACTTTAATCCGGTTAAAAAGTTTTTTCTTTAAATGACAAATGTGTAAAGGTTATGTCAATAAAAGACAATACTAATTTGAATTTGTTTGAATGAATAGGTTTTATATAAACGGGGGTAATTTTTAACTTGATATTTAGATTACTAGTATTTCTAAACTGAAACCAAAATTCGCCAAAACTCGGATGTCCTCAATAATTGCAGTAAAAAAAATTAGGTCGCATGCTATTTTACATTGTATGTCATGTACATTATAAAAATTTGTTTCTTCCCACGCCTCTGACATAATTAGGTTGCATTGAAAATATTATATATGGTTCAAGGATGCATTCCTTAACAATTTTTTTATGAATAATATTTTCTTATAACCTTTTAGATATTGAAATTTCATTACGAATAAGTAATTTATATATAAACATTTTTGATGAGAACTTTTTATTACGCATACATACATTTAAATTAATGCGTTATTATTAAACGACCTTCATTTGTTTGTTTATCCAGATTTCTATATATAACGTCAATGTTTTTTTGCTACGACACAAATGTTACTGTCATAGAAATAAATTCAGATAAATGGAAATCCATATTAAAGATGATTATTATTATAAGCTTCCATAGGATCTTTGAGGGATTGCTCGATTGGCAACTGTGGTTTTCGGTTTTTGTATTTTTATTTATAGTTAATAATTCCAATAATAGTTTGTACTGCCACATACTAAATAATACAGCATTATCTATGGTGTTTTTAAGCGTTCAAACTCTTTTTGTATATATAAAACAGTTACAAATATCATTCGCCACTATCAGCAAATGATTGTATTAACCGAATTGCGTTTGACCCTCTGCTATCCAATTTTTACGTACTTAGTGATAGTTATCAAGTAATAAGTGTTAATTTTCTCTGTCTTTGCAGTCATGGTCACTCCTTAGTACCTAACTGGTTCTAACTATAGTCAGGATGTTTCATTGTATCTCAGTTTGTGAACAGAGCCTTTGACGTGTTCTCAAGCGAAGTTTTTGTTGCAAATATATATTCAAATAATATTTTGTATGCCAGAAACTTTGGTAAGATTTATTATTGAATGCTTTTGCGTCATTGGATTTATATTATCGTGTGATCCTGAAGTATTAATGCAAGTGTTATGGTTGTAACTTTAAGGTTTTGTTGACTTTTCTTTGTTAAAAGAAGTGATATTTTGCTGTTTTCAAGTCGTATTATTTGTGTATTTTTTTACGATCCAAGAAAATACGAGAGAAATATTTTGTATATGTTTCTGTTTTGAGACCACATTACTGCGTCTAATTTTATCAGCTTTGTAAGAAAGTGCCTCATTAAAGCAGAAATCACTAAGGGATTTAACTTTGGTTTCCTGACGGGATACACTGTGTTAAAAAAATCTATTAATACAAAAAACCAAACGAAAATCATTACAACAAACAGAGAAAAAAATAAACGTTTTTATACATAATATTCCATATACATCTATCTTAAATTTATGGAGCCAAGCAATCATATCCCAGGTGGGCTTAAAAATACGTTTATGGTACCTACCCTTGCAATTTATTATGTTATTTTAAGATTTAATTTTTTATTTTATTTAAACAAATAACAAGGCGCGGAACAATATATGTGGTTGTCCGTTCAATTGTTGTCCATTATGAAGGACAGTCTTATGAAATTTCCATAGACACATGTATAAATCGTGCGATAGTTCTAAAAATATAACTGTTAAAAGAAAATAGTTACGCATCAGTTACATAATAGTGACGGATGTAGGGTATCGGTACAACGCAAAGCTGACGTATTGGCAGACGACTTTGTTTATTTCTTATTCTAACTAAGATTCTTGCGATTCGCGACTTCCTAATGAATCAATCAAATTGCACCTTATCTGTTCATCAAAGCGAGGACACAACTTAATTAATTTATTTATTGTAAAAGATAAAATTAGACTGACTTTTTATGGAGTTAACTTTTTAACACGCCTTAGAATGTATGATGGTAGGCGTATAAATATCGTTATATTTACAAATAAACTATTACCTATTTATGAACGTTAGACGTTGATGGGGAGCAGCATAAACATTTGAGGAAAAGCAGGCTCAGATAAATGCAAGCACCTATAAAAATTGCAGTGCATAGATATAGACAACTTTTATTTAGCATTAGCGAATTTGATAAACGAACATTTAAGCGATCAAATGCGAATATAAATCAAAATATATCTCAATTCAGTTAGAACCGGAAACGAATACTGAAGGTCACTGAAAACGTAAGCAGGACGCATAAGTACATTTCGACTCCGTAGTCTATAGTCTATACGTATAGTCTTTAGTCTATACGTATAGTATTTAGTCTATACTCTGTACATCTCATCAAAAATGTTTAGAAAAGTCATGATTTCTTGTATAAGTTTTTTGTCGGAAAACAAACTTCCGATCATGTAGAATACAGTTATGAATTTAGGACAATATGAGTAATTTAAGCATGACAACCTATTAAGAAACTCGCTTTAGCGTTTTATTTATTTTACGTAGATTGGCATTCATTAACTGTCAATTCAAATTCTTAAAATTTTCCAAACTGCGATGTTTATGAGTCTAGTTTTTGTTTATATAAAGTCGTTTCAAGGGTAAGTCTTTTGTCTCATTATTGGTTTTCAACATGTGTAGTATTCGTTCAGTCTCCATATTGGCAATACAAGAATATTATTCTCACCAAATTGTTAAATGTCGAGGTGTTGGTGTACCTACTGATATAGGACAGATGTAGCTGTTACAGTGAAATTTATAGCTAAAAAGCTAGTCAACAATTTTTCTGAACTATCCTCTATTAATCTAACTGCGCAAACTTTGGTATGTGAAATGTGAGTGACTGTTGTTTGTTTGATGGCGAATAAAGGTCCAATGGACGTCGGTCGTGCGTGCACTTCGACATCTACGTAAACCAAAATAGTTGCGCGGGCGACTGCCCAGCGACCGAGTTAGCAAGCGCAGTGCGATCGCGGATCCCTCACACGCCGGTTCTATTTCCAACCAATGTCTCGACACATCCCGATCACTAGTGACAAATAATACTGCACTGTGAAATGGCACTGGACTCTTACCGTGGGAAATACTTCCGCCTATCTAGCAAACGTAAACGCGTCGTTTGAGAGAACATGCCTCATCTAAGCGTCCCTGCAAGGGACAAACAAATCAGTGTCAAGATCCCCCAAGGCATCAATGGAAATCATAACGGAACTAATGGAACGACTAACCCAACTAACGGCCATCTCTCGCCGAATTCAAATGGCCCTCTTTCGCCGCCCATTTTGGATACCACCCAGAAAAAACCACCTAAACCACCACTGAGCAGACCCATTTTACCAATAAAAAAGGCAAAAACATTGCCTATTCATTTTGAAGAGAAGATCTCACCAAAAATGCCCACGCCCCTCATTTCTGGTAAAAAGCTTTTTGTAACTAAGCCTTTAAAAGAAGTTCGTGTGATACCTCAGACTCCAGAGAGTTTACGCATTAAATCTCCCAGCCCATGCAAAAGAAATGTATCGGTATCCGTGGAGTCAGGATCAATAGCTGAACTAGCAAAACGACATAGTTCTAGTAGCATGATAATATCGCGCTCTCCTAGTCCAGCCAGCTACAGTAGCATCAAAAGTTCTGCCAGCCAGTACTCTACGTGTAGCAGCAATGGTACTTTTGTACCTCTCTCGAGATCTTCTAGCATGAACTCATCTCTTAGAAGCCCGACACCGCGGAGAATATATCCTCAAAGCTGTGATAGATCTGACAGCGTCGATTTAAAAGAGTTGAGGTCCAAAGAACAAGCACCCGTTGTTTTTGATGCTAACTTATCTTTTGTTTTGGGTTGTAAAAAGCAACCGGTTCGGCAAAGGTTCAAGCCGCAACCAGCTTATTTAGAAGAAGGTACATCTTCAAATTACTTATCGAATAAAATAGATAACTTCTTGAAACGCACTGATCACATAAAGGATGAGTGGCGACGTTTGGGCCATAAAGACGAACCGGACTTGGATATGTATTATGATGGAATAAAACGAAAAGTTGGTAGATCAAAATCAGCGACAAATATAATGATTAAAGGCTTCACATTGTACAGCCGTACAGGAAGTAGAGCTAGCAGCATGTCATCAAGAGGAGTTTCAGAAGATAGAACAACTGTCTCCGAAATGGACGAGGTTAGTGAATCACAGAAATAAAAATTTTGTGATATTTACAGAGGAATGCGATAAGAATACATACGATAATAAATTAACGTTGAGTATTTTAGTATAATTTTACGTCGTGGCGCTTGGAAAGGCCCTCCGTTGTTACCGCATAGAGCGACGCTTGCCAAACTTTTTTCAATGTTGAGCGGCGGGTTGTGATATATTCCCTATGTTTTGGATATTTGGCAAATTTAGGTGTTTATTTTGCATTATTTCCACTACTTACCATATAAATAGAGGTTAATTGAAAGATTTAGATTTTAAACGAGTGAAAGCATACGGAGACTATTTATCCATGGGCATTTTTAATGTCTGGTTTATAAAACTAAACAATAACATATCGATGTATTGTACTGTAATGTAAAACTATTCGGTCTAACATTTTCATATTGTCCAGTGTAGTGATTTAATTTGAACCGAAAGGAAATACCGAATAGCATTTGGCAAGCAACGCTATGCAGTTAATGCAAATTCATCAAATCATTGTTACTGGACCTCCCACTCGTGCGTCGACGATCCAATTCTATCTTCATTTGAATGATTACTAGCTCGTTAGAGCTTCATTCATAATAATTACTTAACGGCACATATCTGGTTGAAATGTTGTTGAAGTACGCCATATATTAAACTATTATTAATTATTTAAGAAAACCTTTTGGCGGAGGCTTTTGGAGGTCATATATTATACTGGCTCCCGCAGCTCGTGTCTTCGTGTAGAACATTCTCTGGAGCTCTTCCCCAATATTCGCTATATATTTCAGTAAATTTATATAAAATCATAATAGATTATACACCGACAAAACAGACACCATGCAAGGTACGCGTTTATCGTATTCATACACCCATACAGACGTGGCACTATTTCGTTTTATAATATGTATAACCCGTTATAGTTTTATAATTGGCATGAAAAACTTTGTTTTATGACTTTTAGGTATAAATTTTCATGCGTTATTTTCAAGTTTTTAATAATTATTTTGCGTAAATAATACAAAACTACTCAATTAATACTTGAATAAATAAATTATAAGCGATCGTGAGCCAGAATTTCCTCACATGCCATGTCATTTCAATATATTATATTACGTGACGTCTTATACCATAATCTTTACATCGTGTTACATGAGTTCGCTGTGTGTCATTATCGTGTATGAAAAGCACTCTAATGACAAGTTCTCATATGAAAATCTAGCATCTAAGAAGCGAAGTTACAACGAACACCCAATACAGTATAATTTTATCTTACAGACTGTTATATTGGGGCTAATTAAATCCAAAACTATCTACTAAAAACAGAAATACAATATCCTAGTAAAGTTAATCCATTTCTATAAAATCGATGTTTCTTGCTTACGAAGAACTGAATTTTGGACTTCTTAATACGTGTACTCAGAGTCGGTCTTATACCGTGTTATAAATGGTAATAATATACAAGCTGGTAATTGCAGCTGTCCAATTCAAGATCTTGAATATTCTGGTTCTACCACTATATAGGTAGATTTGGTACGTCTAGTGTACTAGTGTTTCGAAACGTGGGTCCCACGCCTCATAAGAGGGAAATTTCTGAAGGGGCTATACGAAAAATTAAAATTCTTAGGAATTTCAGTTATTCAAAAAAAAGTTAGATTTTGTAAATTTACTTAGTGTATCGTTAACAATTTCTTTCTAAAACCTTTGATTTAAGTTTCTTAAGTGAACAATTAAGTTTTTTAATATTAAGCATTATATGTGTGTTTTATTAAAAATTTAAAACTAAGGTATGCAATATGCATGGTTGGAAAACACTGGACTAGACCATAACCGATGTTAATTTTAAGTATTAACTATCATATTATAACTAATTATATAATCAAATTTAGAAGTGGTCTTCTTCGTTCGTCGAAATCTGACGAAATTTTTATAAACACTACTAGTAGTTAGTACAATGTAAATGCTTTGCAATAGTAATTTTCCCTTGCGATTTGCGTTAGTGCCAAAACGTTAATTTAAATTGCATAATTGTTCAATGTCGTTGACTGATATACGACTGGTTTCTTCAAGGACGTGAAAATAATTTAAAAAACCTGTTAAACTTAACCTTTACAGTGAAGCTAATTTTGCGACACATTAATTGCTATTTGCAGATAATATTTCTTGCATCCGGCGATTCTTGTTTTGCCAACACCGTTTTTAAGTTATTTGCTTTAGAGTTTTTTGTTTACTGTAATGAATTCTCGACTCTATAGTATTGTAAATATTATGATATATCCTAAAACTCAGAGTCAAAAAATTGTACTAAAATATAAATGAACTTTTAAGATTTTCATCAACTTGGTAATACACCAAGTTACATTAATACTGAGAAACTCTGTGTCATTTAAATTTCAAAGAAATAAACTGTACACTTCAAACTTACTTCATTGAAATTTAATATTAAAAGCACTTTTAGAAACATAAAAAATGTGTTTGGCGTAACCATTAATATACAAGTTTAGTGTATTTGCACTTCTTTTATAAAATATGTAAACAATTTTTAGCTATCCGAAGTGGGCAGCGAGTTGGCTGAGGAGAGATCAGCGGCTGCTCTTGCTACGGAGCGCGCCGATGCTGAGGCAGCAGAGCGCCTGCGCATAGAAAGAGACAATAGAGAGCTACTTGCGAACAACCAGCGGTTACAACAGGTATTATTTTTTTTGTACTAGTTAATAACCCTATGTGTATGATAATAAGGTTTCTTCCCCCATATTCATAAGCGTGCTATCAAATAAATATTGAATACTCAGGCCTTGATCGTTGTCTTGATCATTGAAAATAAATTAACCGGGCAGAACATTATTCAGAGTTCTCGCTATATCTTAAACTAGAAGTACAAATTTATCAACCTTAGTCGATTAGACCGTTAATTCACACGGCATTTATCCCAGGTGCTATTGGTTTGATTATCGGCGAATATTTTTTTACAAAACAGCCAGTCTTGGCCTTAGATTACATAGTTCATAGGCAAGGTGGTTTCAAATGCGTTAAACTCACAACCTCAAAGGTATGGACAAACGTTTCCCCATTGTTGTACGATAGAATATCTCATTCAGATTTCTAGCACAAGGTAACTAATCTCTCCATACTTGTAGGCTTCAGAACGTCTCGAGCTTGAGCTCCTCCACTGGAGATCATCTGAAAATGGCGGTGCTGAACCATCAGACTCTGAAGGTTCGGAGGCCGACGGGGCTAATACTGAGAAATACAAGAAACGATTCGAACGCGCCCATCGCGAGCTACAGCTTGTCAGAGCTCAGCTTCGAAGGCAACATGAAGACGACCTGGAACAACTTGTCACTGTTAAGAAACAGCTAGAAAAGAAGGTGAGTCAAAGTTCGAGTCAGAATTTATACAGATATATATTACCAACTAAGACGACAGGTCGCTTTATGATATTGATTGATTTCCCATACCATAAATACGCGTGTTTTGATACGATTGTCTGTGAACCAAGTACAAACATTTAGAAGATACAACATATTTATTTACTAAATTACTGTTTAACGCACTTTACAATTCCGCAGTATAGGCTTTTGTTTATCATCACGAGTCTTTATGGGGTACTATAATATTTTTAAATTCAATGTATTATTTTGATGTGTTTTTATCAGGCTAATCTTTGATAACATTTATTAATACTGGCAAAAAAACTAATTGATTACATTAAATTAGGTATGTTTTCTATCTATTATAAGTAAAATGCAAGTATGTCAGTAATGCTAACCGTGTAGTATTTGTAAGTAGTAATACTAGTATTTCTAATCCTTATTAAGTTAATAATGTCATAATCCGCGTAAGAATTTAACGGCATCCGCCTGTTGGTAATATCCTCCATTTAAAATACATTTTTTATCCACTTTTATGTGCCAATTCATATTTATATATAATAAACAAATATATATGTGTCCCTAAATTAATGTCGTTTATGTATAAACAGTATTTTGAGAAACATTAGATTTTATTGATTTATTACGATATAACTCCTGAAACTAAATAAAATTTATTAATTTTATTATCACTCGGTTTGTTTGTGTACGATTTCCTTCAAAAACTAAAATAAGGTCAAGATATGAATTAGTTTATCTCGATAAGCCTAGTTATCTGAACATCCTTGATCGGCGTAGATGGCATTTTTATGATATATCTCACTTATCATAGTACTATAGTGCGATACACACTTTAAAATCAGTGATGAACGGTGAAAATGAGGAGGTCAGTGCTCTTTTTATTCCAAGTCACATTGTTTTATCTTAACAAATTGATTACTTGACATTTTGGCGTAATTCCAAATCGCATCGACGCTTGATTGCTACGAGTTTAGTAAATTAACTATTGAGTTATTTATTTCAAGATTGAGCAATGTTAGAATATACTCTGTTATTGTTGTTCGTATCCGCCGGTTCGTTATTTACGTGTGAACACTACGAACACAAGTGAAAAAACTTCTGAGAATGAAAATGACCTTGTAATGGTCAGTTTTGTGTATTCTACACTGGTAAAACTTACGTCTTTCATTTTTTTCAAGGATTTTCTAATTCATTGCCAATACTCAAAAGTCTTCATCGATATCACTTTACATATAATATACTACTAGTTTCACTTTTCGCTGTAGCGGTTAATGCTTGAGTGCGAAACAAAACAAAGAAAACATTTCATATAAGTTTAATTTTGCAATACTTTGGAAAAAAATAATGAAAAAATACAATCGTTGATGCGGAATACATATTATGCTAAAATTTTCGGTGCAGAACTTTTTGAGTTTTTGAAGCGTACACAAACCAACATAACATTTATATATATAGATGTAATCCTTACAGTATGGTATAGTCAAATTTTGGTAACTTTTTTAAATTTTCTCTACATAAAGACACAATTTACCATTACGATCTAGCCTAACTTATGACTAACAAGTAATTTAAAACTAATTTAATTTACTAAAAAGAATATTTAAAATAAGAAAGTGTCCAATAACACTACTTACAGTCTCTATTAATAGGAAGACACTCTGTTCCTGTGTACTATCTTGGTAGTAAACAATATTATAACGCTTTTAAGTATATACAATTATTTATTTTAAATTCATAGACGTTCAAAATAAACCCCGTTTATGTCCGGTAAACAGTTTTTTTCTTCGTTAAAACTCTACAAGACAATCCGTGATAGTTATATTTACGATGTTTTTGTTGTTTAAGGTTCAAGATGCTTACGAAGAGGTGGAGGAACAGCGGGCGGTTGCGGCGCAATGGAAACGCAAGTTGCAGAAACTTACGAACGACATGGCTGACCTACGATCATTGTTAGATGAACAGGTAATTTAAGATTGTTTATCAGCTTTCAAACAGATCTGGGGATTTGTATTTATCTGTAACACGATTTATAAAAAGAAGGGCTATGTATCAAATAACCCTTTATGCATTGAAGGCCTAAAACATCTTTTTACGCTGGTTCTCCTGTAAACAAAGCTATAGTAAAGTGTTGTTATCTCTAGATATTATGAGATTTGAATTTGGAATGTGTGTGTTAGTTAATGTTTCAATCGTGAAGTAATCAATCATGAACATTGTATCAAAAGGTTACTGGCGTCTGCTCGGGATCTATGGGATCTACGGGAAACATGTCTAAAAATTTTGCAAGTGAGAGTTATGGAGTATTGTATTTATGAGTTCTAGTGTGGGTGATCGACCAAAGATCCTAGAAAAGCATTATCAACTTGAAATAAACTTAGACCTAAATCCAGGCCATTTTTATTTATTTTATTACAAAAATAGGATTCAAGATGGTGGTTTCAAATGTTACATGCTAAACTTATGAATATGTTCTTTACAGACATGCCGTAATAACCTTCTAGAGAAACGCCAGCGTAAGTTCGACACAGAGCTTCAGAGTGCGCAAGAGGAGCTGAAGCGAGAGAGGTCGGCAAAAGACAGGTTGTCAAGGGAAAGGGATCAGGCACATGCTGAAAAATACGCGCTGGAACAAAGCCTCTCTGTGAGTACAATTTCACTTGTTCGTAAAAAAAATTGGCAAAATATCTAAATAGAAAATTTTGTGTAGTATTTAAATTAAACAATTTTTTTTTGCTTTTATTAACTAAATGTTGTAATCACAGAATTAGATTTGTAATATCGGTTCAGAGCAGGAAGCAGTTGTATAAATTTCGTGTTTTCTTTAAGACACTTTATATACACTCTAGAGCTAAACTTTTCTATACAGGAAGCTCGGCTGGAAATCGAGTTGAAAGAAGAGCGTCTTGCTACTGCAACGAGGGAATTAGAAGAACGTGGAGGCGGTGGTGACGAGTTGACTGCGTTACGACGGGCCAAGTCTGAACTGGAACGACGTGTAAGAGATCAGGAAGAGGAGTTAGATGAATTAGCTGGACAGATACAGGTAAGGAAAAGATTAAAGTTATGTAAATTAAATTAAAGAGGATGTAAGAACTAAAATGTGAAATGAGAAGATCAAGTATCACAATCGCCGACGCCTATTTTTGTATTAATTTGTCGTTTATCAAACACCTTAAATTGTTAGAATTTATTCCGAACCCTACAAATTTTGGGCTTTCACTGAGTGAAAAGTAGCTTCTGGTGTTTATTAGAAAGTGGATTGAATGATATAAGTGGCTATGTAATTGCTTGCGTGACAAAAGTTTTTATTTAGTTCATAAAATGTGTTAATACCAAATATAAAATTGTATAAAAAATTTAGACCTGAGAAAAGATATACCACTCTTTCTTCTTGACTACATTTTAAGAGAAAGAAGGTTTTGTATGTAGAAACTCAATGGCTGTTTAAATTTTCAGTTGTTAGAAAGTTCCAAGCTTCGCGTAGAGATGCTGTTGGAGCAGCAACGCAAAGAGGCCCGACTGGAAGCAGCCGCTAGAGATGACGAAATGGAGGAGACCAGGGCTAATGCTGCCAAGAAACTGAAAAGTAAAAACATTTTTTTTTTATTTTTTTTTATCAAAAATTACTTAGGTCGACTTATTATGTTAAAACAAAAAACAAGATGAATATACTTCTGGGCTACTCCTATATGAAGAACATACCTAAATATCGGCTTGAAAAATGAAAAATGAAAATAAGTTACATTTCCTTATATGTATTTTATAGAAAAAATATTACTTGACTATAATTGATATAATTATAGGGATGCTTAGCCGCGCTAATATGCATTATTTTTTATTTTGTTTTTAAATAGCAAATCGTTTTATATTGTGCAATATAAATAATTAAAAAAATTCCAGTACTGGAGAGTCAACTTGAAAGCGAGCATTCAGAACGCAGCCTTCTCTTACGCGAGCGTCACGAGCTGGAGCGACGATTGGCTTCACTCGAAGAGACAGCAAGGGCTGAAGCACAAGAACAAATTCAACTCATACATCGCCTTAAGAGGTAATATTCCCATCAGTGACCATGGGCGTTATCTCTTAACATTTGGGGAGGCTCTCGTCTGTTTGACCCTTCTATAAAAAATCGAAAGATCAAACATAATCAGGCCGAGTTTTAGTTGTATGTGAAAATTTTATTTATCTATATGTAGTATTGTAAAGTTAATTTCTTTATATTTTTGGCGTGACGTTTTTTTTTTTTTTTTTTCTATGTAATAGGAGGCAAACGGGCAGGAGGCTCACCTGATGTTAAGTGATACCGCCGCCCATGGACACTCACAATGCCAGAAGGCTCGCAAGTGCGTTGCCGGCCTTTCAGGAATTGGTACGCTCTTTTCTTGAAGGACCCTAAGTCGAATTGGTTCGGAAATACTTCTGTGGGCAGCTGGTTCCACATAGTGGTGGTGCGCGGCAAAAACTGCCTTAGAAAACGCTCTGTTGTGGAACGACGGACGTCGAGGTGATACGGATGGTATTTTGTATTTTGCCTTGACGTCCGATGATGAAACTCAGCTGCAGGTATTAGACCGAACAACTCCTCTGAACACTCTCCATGGTAAATGCGGTAGAAGATGCAGAGAGATCCCACATCTCTACGCAACGCCAAGGGATCAAGCCGCACGGAAAGTGACTGGTCGTCGACGATTCGAACCGCTCTTCGTTGAATACGGTCAAGTGGAAGGAGCTGGTACTGGGGAGCTCCCGCCCAGAGGTGAGAGCAGTACTCCATATGGGGCCGAATTTGCGCTTTATAAAGTTGCAAGCGGTGGCCCGGAGTGAAGTACCGTCTCGCCTTGCTGAGCACACCAAGCTTTTTGGAGGCTAATTTAGCCTTTCCTTCCAGATGACCGCGAAACTGAACGTTATTCGATATGTCAACGCCCAGTATTCCGATGCTAGCTGAGGCTTTAAGGAGAGTGTCTTCAAAGAGGGGAGTAGCGACAAAGGGAGTTTTTTTAGCGGAAAACGCGCATACTTGTGTCTTCTTGGGGTTAAATTGGACTAGATTTAGTCTACCCCAGTCCGAGACTCCACGTAGAAGAGTTTCGACTTCAGACACAAGTTTGTTCCGGTACTCATCGACAACAGCCCGAGAAATACCTGCCCGGCCAGTGTAAAAAGTATCCCCAGTGCTGTCGTCCGCATAGCAATGAATGTTGCTAAGCTGCAACATATCATTGATATGCAGAATAAACAGGGTCGGGGATAGGACACAGCCTTGTGGGACACCAGCATTCACAGGTTTCAGGTCGGAGCATGCTCCGTCGATGACGACTTTGATGCTCCGATCAGCGAGAAAGCTGGAAATCCAGTTGCATAATTTCTCAGGGAGCCCATAGGCTGGAAGCTTCGAGAGCAGTGCTCTGTGCCACACCCGATCGAAGGCTTTCGCTATGTCCAAACTTACCGCCAGCGCCTCCCCCTTGGACTCAATTGCCTCTGCCCACCTATGTGTAAGGTATACAAGGAGGTCACCAGCCGAGCGACCACGACGGAAGCCGTACTGAGAATCGCTAATCAGCTGGTGGCCCTCTAGATACCTCAAGAGCTGGCTGTTAATAATGGTTTCCATTATTTTGGAGAACAAGGAGGTTATAGCTATTGGGCGATAGTTGGACGGATCAGAGCGATCGCCTTTTTTAGGGATCGGATGTATCGAAGCGATCTTCCAGCACTTCGGAACAGTGCCGAGCGTGTAAAGGTACCGGAAAAGGCGCGTTAGGACCGGAGCCAACTCAGGAGCACAAGTACGCAGCACAATTGGAGGGATGCCATCAGGCCCGCTCGACTTATGGATGTCCAAGGAAGACAAAGCTTTACGGATAGCACGTTGCCGGAATATAACTTCGGGCATCGTAGTATCACACCGCAATAATGTCGGTGGTTCCTTCCCTTGATCATCCAAAGTGGAGTTCGACGCAAAGAGACAGCCTAGAAGATCGGCCTTCTCTTTCGCGGTATGGGCAAGTGAGTCATCCTCCCTATGCAGTGGTGGAATTGAGGGCTGACAGAAATTCCCTTGGACAGCTTTGGCAAGAGACCAGAAGGCTCGAGTTCCCGAAGGGAGGTGGGCCAATTTCTCACCAAATCTGGCAATGCGCTCTGACTTTGCTTTACCGATTTCTCGCTTGAAGGACCTGGAGGCTGAATTGTATGCTTTTTTACGTTCGCCGATAGTCACATCACAGGATGTCACCGCTTCTGCCCAGGCTTTAAAGCATTCACGCTTACGGCGCAAAGCCGCTTTGCAGGAACGCCTAAACCAAGGCTGGGACTTGCCACCGACCGGCACCGCAGAGAATGGAATAAAGAGTTCCATACCCTGCAGGACCACCTCGGCGACAGAGTCAGCGACGGCATCTGGAGTACTCGACGAAAAGCAAATGGGCCCCCAAGGGTAGGACGCAAAAAAGACCGCATCCCATCCCAATCTGCTGACTTATAGTGCCACACGCGGCGACAGCCCGTGAAGCTAGGCCGAAGAAGGCGCGTGAACGGCACAATGCTCCGGACCACACAATGATCTGATGAACCCAATGGCGGTTCAACAGAGACTTGGTAGTTCTCCGGATGTGAAGTCAGCAGAAGGTCCAACAAAGAGGGTTTATGACCATCCACATCTGGTATTCGCGTAATCGCAGGGACCATTTGCGTCAAGTCATAAGCCAAAGCAATGTCGTGAAAGGATCTTCCCGCATGATCGGTGGTTTCTGAGCCGAGCCAATCGGCATGGTGGGCGTTAAAATCGCCAAGTATCACGATTTCAGCGGTAGGAACCCTTTCGAGCAGGGAATCTGTAGCCATTTGGATGTGCTCAATGAGTCGGTCAGTTTCGGTATTTCCGCTATGGGACCTATACAGGCATGTATAGAATCGCGGATGGTCATCGCAGTCTACGCGGAGAACAGATATCCTCTCTGACGTACACGCAAACTCCCGCCCGCGGCACAAATGAATGTTCCAATTTGTACCCCGGGTAGGAGAGGTAGGAAGTATCAGCCGGGGAGGAAATCTGAGTCTCGGTAAGAAAGAGCAAGGCCGGCTTCGCAGTCTCTAAATGGTAGTGGACTGCGTTGATATTAGAATTGAGCCCCCTAACATTTGTGAAGTCCACAGCGAGCGTGGACGGGGGTGCCTTTGTTGAGTTGCTCCGTTTGCCCCGAGAACGATAACTGTTTTTGATGTTGAGCGCAGAATTGCCCCCCCCAGAATACGAAGGGCAGCCTGTGCGTCCACCACCGGGTGCTGAATGTCCCGGTGTTGGACGCCCAGAGGGGGATTCTCCACCGCGAGCGCGTGTGGTACCCCCTGGGGTAGATTCTCTTTTTCTGCACCTTCATATTTCATGGGGAGGGGGGTGGGCTCCGGGAGTCTCTCTCACCGCACGAAACGCGAGTACAATAAGGTGAACTTATTGCATCACTTCACGCCGGTTTTCTGAGAGACAGTGGTACTGCCCCGGTCGTGCCTGCCCATTTGGCTGAAGCCCGAAGGCAACAGCATGGCACTCCCACTAGGAAGGGGTTGACTGATTGCGCTGATGAAATAACCTCTGTCACAGGTTATTTCACCAGTGGGCGATGGGGTCGTCACGTCCCGACGCCACCAAAATAACCACCACCACGTCTAATAAATCGATGAACGCCGGCTGCACGCACGGAAAAGCATGACTCATTGTCCCGTTACGCTCATTACGCATCATTTTTGTTATGACGTTGTCACGTTAAACTTTCGTCCGTAAACCGACTTTACAACAACCATTTTTTTTACGTTACTTATGTTTTAACGGAAATAAAATTGTTATTAATAACTATGATATATGTATTTTTGATTTATGGAAATAGTTAAATTAATTTAGCCGTTCGGATGATAGCGGTCTTATTCATATACAAAGTTTGTCTTAATTGACTTAATCTTAATTTGAGACACACATTATGTTTAATAATAATAATATTTTCGCTTACTTGCAGTTATAACAGTATTTAGAGGTCATTTTAGGAAACTTTTTTGACGTATCACACTTTTTATTCTAAATTTAAATATTTCAGAGACCTTAAGCGATACAGAGCCTTACTGCGGGACGCTCAAACAATGTTGGAACAGAAAGAAAAAGAAGGCGGAGGAAAGGCACAGATTAGACAACTTAAGAATCAGGTCAGAATTTCTTTTCAACCAAAAAAAATAGCATCATCTTAAGTATCTATATACATATATATTGTGCCAGTAGTGTTGCCATTCTAATAAAAAAATGACATCGTTCTCTCTTATTACATAATCTCTGGCAGATACATATATAAAATCAAACGTATTTAAAAATTAAAGAGACAATGTTTATTTATTGATGAAATGTTCTCGACTTATGTTTATTATTGTTAATCTTTTTAATGTAAAATTGTTGATTTAATCATGTTTTAATTAATCAAAAGTTTATGCTAAATCTATATATATAAAAATGAAATCCGTTTTCCGTTGTCACGACATAACATGAAAACTGCTTGACCGATTTGTCTGATTTTTTTAAATAATATTCCTTGAAGTACGAGTATGGTTCTTACGGAGAGAAAAATTGAGTGAAAAAGTCTAAAAACAACAATTTTCTATATTCCCATACAAAATATTCGTAACAATACTTAAAAATCAATTTGAACTTTAATACCATATCATAAAGTTCAAATGTTAGTGGAGGTAACGGGAGGTTCCGGGAAGGTAAATATTTATTTTTTGACATAATGTTTTTTTTGTCTTATTAACTTTCTTTCTTTTATCTTACTAGCTAGACCGGTGTCCCGTATAGCAGAATAAGTATTTAAAAAAAATAAAGAATCGACTGTTAGGCGGTACGATGTTCGCCAAGCCAGCTAGTATTATAATAGTATAAAACTTGTGCTAAAACGAAACAATTATTAAACGTCATAATGAACTCTCAATAAATGAATTATAGGTGGAAGACCTGGAACTAGCAGTTCGTGCCGCGAACAAAGCACGTTCGACGGCTGAAGCGGAGGCATCAGAAGCAACAGCCGCTTTGGAAGAAGCCAACCGCGCAAGAAATGAAGCCGCAGAACGAGCATTAACAGCAAGCAGGGACGCGGCGGCTGCGCGTGCGCAACTCGATGACGCTGAGGAGGAAGCTGCTGAGGTGAGATAATACTTTTAAAATCTGAAATAAATATAAAATTTTAATTACGCAAATATTCCTTATAAAATACCTTCGTTTGATACTAGTGAGGTTATTTGGATTTGGTCCACTATGGTATGCGTTCTTTATCGTTGTAATCACGACCCAGAGTCAGCTGCTAATTAAAGAGTATATTTTCTTTCCAGCTATTAAAGAAATTCCGTGCTAGTACCAGCGCCCTCTGTGCCGCTCAAGCGGAAGTTCGCGAGGCAGAAGCCAAAGCCGAAGCAGCGAGTGAAGATGCGCGAGTGGCGAAAGAGAGATCAAATGAGTTGGCTGCCCGTCTCGCTGCGGCCGAAGCGGGACACTCGCATGGACAACATGAGACTGAAAGGCGATTGGAGCTTAGGAATAAGGTAAAATATATGTGTGGTAAAATCTGTAATAATTATATATTTTATTTTCTATATATTTTAATAATCATAATGTTGGATTATTTGACGATAATAGGTATGCACATTATAGTCTACAGATAAATAGGAGACAATGTGACCAGATAAAAAAGCTATGGAAAATCGTCAAAGAATGGTTTTTAAAAATATAAAACCTCATCCGTTAATGAAGGACGATAAATAATATATATTACAGATCATGGCAGATTGTCTAGCTTAATCAGTTTCCGATTAAGCTGTATATTTCATTATAATATTATAACTGGAAATTTTGTTTCTCAAAAAATGTATATATTTGTAGGAACTGGAATCGAGTCTTGAGTTAGAGGCGACATCTCGTGGTCGGCTCGAGAGTCAGGTGGCACGATTGAAGGATGCGCATGAGCAACTTGCAGCAGAACTGGCAACTGCCAGAGCCAAAGACCAGCAAGCAGCGGAAGAGCTACGGAAATGGACAAGACAAATTCGGTGAGTTTATACCTACTGTAGCGAGATAGCTAAAGCTGCAATCGTTTATAAGTGTTTCCGACCGCAATTCTTAATTATAGTTTTTGTGCGTAGAATTTGTTAGACCGTTAACTTTGTGTTTAATAGTCAAGTCTGTTTTGGTTTCTTACTATAAAGACTTTTTAACTAAAAAAACTTTCTTTACCGTGCACAAAAATTTTTTTTGGGTCTGTTATAACTCTGCTTATGAATTAATGTATAATTGTTTAACAAAAATATCCGGTTCCAAAATAAGTTCTTTGTGATCATATATTAGAATGAATTTATTATATAACTAGATGACCCAGTGAACTTTGTTTCACCAACATATATTTGTGTCAAAACCAATAGACCAAAAAGATCGGACCTCATACAGCAGACTACATATTAATACTATGAAACACATATTTCTGAAAGAATCTACAAATAAATGACAACCAAGTCACAATTTTTTATTTCTTAAAAGACGACCAATTTCCCAACTAAGAACAGTTTTTATTGGAAAATCCAATTGTCGTTTTTAGTATTTTTCTTTAATTTTTATGTACGTTTCCCACCGGTTAAACCTTCCTTGATCTTCCACAAATATTTTAAGATCATAACTAGCCAAATCGGTCTAGCCGTTCTCGAGTTTTAGCGAGACTAACGAACAGCAATTCATTTTTATATAGATATTTACGACTTATGTAAAAATTTGATAATTAAAATATTGTAAATTAAATGAATTCAACCAATATTTTCATATATTCAAAATAACTGCGTTTATTCTGTTGAAACCTGAAATAATTTTATTTGTATTAAATCCTATCCAGTGAACTAAAAGAAGAGAACACCTCACTAAATGCAAAACTAGCAGAAACGACACGTTCGAAGTTAGCAGCGGAATCCGCGGCTCAAACCGCAGCAGCGGAAGCAGCCGCTGCTAGAGATGAAGCAAGACTTGCAGCACGACGTGCTACAGCACTACAGGAAGCTATAGCTGGGGATCTGTCAAGTCCTGGAGATTCAAGAGATACTGATAGGTATGTTTGAATGGAGCTGGGCTCATAAGTTAAAGATATCTCGTATATAAAACCGTAAATATTTAAAAAATTGTAATTAAATAGAACGGTCAGGACATTGAAACAATATATAATTAAAGTAAATTTTTCAATAAACAACATTTTCTTCCAGCTTTTAATTTTATTTATTATTATTTCAAATAATAATGCCCTTACAATTAATAGACCATGAGATCCACTTTAGAATCCTGCCATCTTTCAATAATTATCCAAGATCCTAAATTTTAATGGCTTGTAATTTTCTTATAATTTGCTTACAATATATTTTTCATAATAATATTTTTAATTTTACAGTGAAAACGACAGCTACAGCTCAGACGAGTCAATTGGGACTTTTCTCGCGAACCACAAACTGAGTCCCGCTGCGCCATCCCGCTCTTCTTTGCACCACGAGTCGCACAAGTAACGAAATTCAAATTTCTGTACTCCTTTTCATTTTAAGTCTTATAATTTATATCTAATCGAAACATGAGGCAATTATTTTACGTTCTATAAATACACAGTATTTATGCAGTTACACATACAGTTACAACCGTTTGCGAGATTCACCGTTTTTGTAACTGCCTCGTAACTGCAAAATAACTGTAAAACTCTACTTTTCTATTTTATATCGCGACTTTTTTATAACTTTAAATTCAAAATAATTATAATTTATTTTCAGGTCAACAAGCTCGGAAGGCCGCGCCAGTCGTTCCAGCATTAGCTCTGGCTCGAAGCCCCTAAGTCCAACAAAGGACTCGTATGCATAACAGCCGCCTTCCGCGGCCGGCCTGCTCGCCGGTGCGCTGCCCATACTTTGCACGGTCTTCTGCTCGCGGCAAAGGACTAACTCTGCCCACCAAGTCATAGAGTAAACGGCCTAAAACATATTCAGCTTTATGAATACTTAATTTTGAAACTTTACGCTCGTTTGCATGTTATAAGACAATTAAAGTGGTAAGACATTTATCAGTTTTAATTTAAATGACTTGAATGACGAACTGTCAACTTGACACTTGACATTTATTTGACGCGTCACACGATGGGAAGATGTGGATTTTTTGGGACTTATTGATTATGTAAGGGCGAGAGAAATATAGACGTGTGGAACTTAGCACGTTGTGCTTCTAACTCTAAATTTAATATAATCTATTAATTGTATTAATTTATGAACAAAGTATTATAAACAATAACTCCATTAAAACAAGCAAGCTTGATAATCACGAAGTAGAATTCTGCTCAATCATATACCTACACTAGTATAACATTTTGAGGCTATACACATTTACGAGTTTTTAACGATTTTTAGATTTTTATAAAAAATATATCTAACCATGATAATCGCCAAGTAATTAGCAATGCTGAATTTATTAAATGCATTCCATATAAAAACTTGGCTTGCTGATTTTCACTACAATTTCAAGGCTTCGACGTTATTTATTTAGCTGATTTAATAGGAAATAATTGTTTATGTGTAGATGTTGCGCTGGGTTCAGCCAATCAGTATTTAGATGAAATAGAGACGGGATTATATATTGTAACATTAGATTGATTGTTATTTAGTTAGCTAACGTGTAAATAATTAGATTGCGTATACATTTTTTATTATTTAATTTGTAATATTCGTGTGATCAGACTGTTATTGTATGATTTTTGTTACATTGTGAGTTGTTGCTTTATAATAGACGATCGAACATATCTTTTAGGTACCTAATATATCGAATTCCTTATTGACTGGTTTATTTTATTTAATTTTATTAGCGATCTGTATTCATAAATGTAAGTCTTCTAAATCTTCATGTAAACCTTAGATATGTGTCTGTAATCATTGTCTTCATTATATATGGGTATTGTACGAGAAAGTAATGAAATGTTGCTGCGTTCAATATTGGTTGTAAAATGAAATTATTTAATAAAGTAACTGATGTAAACGTGACTTTATTCTTTGGCCATCGGGCCCAAGATTTACCCAAAAGTGAATTCCTACCCTTATAACACAAACCTAAGTTTGATTGGAAGAGTTTACGTAAATGATGCTGCATGACAGGAAGTGATAATAATGAAGATATAGCGTAGTGAATACTACTTTAATTTTAAATATTTTACTAGAATTTGATTGTAATATAATTAATACGTAATATATATAAATTCGAAGCAAACAACCATTACCGATAGTATTTTAATTAAATCTTTTTGCTGTATTGAGTTTTCTGAACTTTTCAATTATATTTGAATAGCCCTTGTAAAGAATTTTCTTATTATTTTTGAAAATTAAAAGATTTATAAGACTATACATTAACTTATCCTAGATATTCCAGTAATTTGATTAAAAAATTATATTAAATTATACTTGCAGAGTTATATACGAACGATAAAAAAGGGTGCGTGTACTTATGTACGCGCGTAAGAAGTTATACTTCTTTGGCATTATTAAAAATAGTTTTTGATTGCATGCAAATAATTAATTACAATTAAATAATCAAAGACTGGAAAAGGAGTCATTATAGTCAATAAAGTTCAGTTTACATTTGAAAAATTAAATAAATAAAAATTTATTATTATTCTCTTACATTAAGTGTAACATAAATTCTATTATTATTAGAATGTTGTTTTTAAATTATGTCCAATGCCGTAGCATCTTCCGTGGGCAACTTCATTCTGTTGTTAATTTTGTGTCACGGTGCGCGCGCATTGTAAAATTTCACTCTCATAAATTTTTCATAACGCGCCTAAAGAAGTATAACTTCAAAAACAATACTCAAAGTATTTGAAAAGTGTTGATTTCTAATCTATACCAATTTATTTAAAATACCCGAGGGTGGGTGTTTATATTGAATCTGGCAACACCGTATGTCAGCTAACGGCAGACGCTAGACAACTGACAAATCACAATTCACAAACGTCAGTTCGGTTGAGGCTGTCCTCATAGGCTGCCCTCGCGCATTTCTACTTAATCGTATTTTTAACAAAAATTAATATTTTTATTAATAATCTTTTCTTAAGTTCCGTTTTATAATTAGTGCAACAGTAACATCAAACAGTGATAAAAGTGTTTATAACTTTCAACAGTGTCTATACATTTCTGACTACAATTTGTATTTTTTCTACCTGTGTCGAGTGTAACAATCAAGTTCCAAACCAAGAAATGGGTTTATAATTGGTCTAAATCGAAGGTTGTGATGGTGAGTATTTTAATACACTTCATTACAACGTTAGACTTAACAGTAGATAAACTTATATAGATCCGTTAACATAACTTGTTTGTGATATAATGAAGTTATTGCAATCGTCTAAACTTAGATACTATGTCTAGAAAGTTGTTCGGTTTAAAGCTTTGACAGTTGCAGTTCATTAAACTCTTGAAAGCGTCAAATACCATTCATAAAGATTTATGAGTTAAACCTCGTGTTGATAACCAGACTTAGTGGAATGTGGCTATGGGACCTTTGCGCTAGGTCGTTGCGTGCCCGTGAGTATATACAGGAATACTTGTGTTGCCTGTGGATGCTTTAGAATTGTATTGAGAAAGGGTTAAAAAGATACTAAACCCTAACGATTGAACTTATGTGATATTTTTTTTTTGTTTTATATCTTATATTGTTCAGACGTCATATAGTTTTTATATAAATTGCTGCCTATTCTATTCAGCATTATATAACATAAAGGTGAACCATAAAAGCACCAGATTGTATTCCAAATAACGACTGTATTCCTAAACCAAAGGAAGCAATAACCTCTTCGCAAACCGAGAAGTCATTTCTTCGTCCATAAAAAAGACATCAACGAGTTACGTAGGATGAGAAAATCTTAGCGAATTTAGCAGTTTTATTTCCTAAATTTTACCAATAAGTTATATAAATTTGGAAAAATTATATTATTGCGGAAGAGTCACAAATTAAAAAATCTCTTACTTGATTATATATTCATCCACTTGAGGTTTTCACAAATGCTAGAGCAGTAGGTCTTCTTACGGTTGATTTCATCTGAATTTTTAGGCTAAATATTACACTTATGATTGTGTAAACTAAAAACTAAATAACATACCTGTCGTGGTATAAAGATGTTAGCAAAGATTAGCCTTTGGATGTTGGATTTTGATTTAGTTCATAAATTTGGCTCTGTTGTTGGTTTCCGACAAGAATGGAAATGCCATGATCCTCATTTTGTAACTGACAAACCCAGATTGACGATTCGTAATCCAGCCCTCTATATATATATTAAAACACAGTTAAAAAATGTGCTTAACAAGTTGAACGTAGAGTATGTACAATAATATTTGACATTCGCTTCATATACGAAGACTTACTAATAAATAAGAGCTACATTTCAATACATTATTCTAATATAAGAATTTTTATTAAAGTGTAAATTGGAATAGCCCATTACAATTTTAATTTCAATACGGTAACAGGTAGCAATGTGATTTTATTAGCCGTCATCATAGCAAGTGGTGCGCCGCGGGCAACTTGCGCACGAGTCGGCTTTAACACGATATTTTATTTTACGTTTCCTTTAATACGTAATAACACCTTGTCTGAATTATTTCTCGGTAAAATTTTTAATTTTCATGAAGTCAGGTAATTAGTTGAACGAGTCTTTTCTGCTGCTTTAAATTTAATATATCTACGTGATACTAAGGCAATTTAGTGCACGAAGAAAGAAAATTGTACACCCTACTTGTAACGTTTGATAAAAAGAATTTCATTTATTGATCAAAATCATTCAATTTCATAGTAATGAAGTTTACTCTTCAAAAGCAAATAAAGATACTTGTCTACGATTATTTCTCTGATATTTATTCAGCATAGCCTAGGTATGGCCTGTAAACTCCGAAACAATTATTTTTGTCTCTGTGAGAATCTCGAAATGCATTGATACTCAGCGTAGAAGAAATCCTAGTAAAACATTTTAACGTCATGTCATAATGTCTGGATACTACTGTATAAAGACTAATCAATCATGGAAAGATAAATTAATTAGCAATACCCTTATAGATATTCATTGATTATCTGTATCGTGCGTAAATAATCGGCTTTACAACAAGACTTTCATTAATTCCATATCTATTAGTTCCACAGAATTCCACAGATACAATATGTATGATGAGAAGACGCCGACATCTATTTTGTTTTGAAGCTGGTAATCAAACATAATAATTATGGAACGAAGGAATTCGTTATGGATTAAGTAAATCTGTGTATTCTTTGTGATCATTGTATCAATAGTAAAGACGCTTGATTGAAATAAGTATATTTGAAACGTCAAACTATAAGTTACATATAAGTTCAGTCATGCATTAGATTTCTTTCCAAAACATAAAGTCACATAGGTAAAGGCCTAATATGTTTTAAAAATTCATTGAATTAAGTTAATTAGATTTGGTAAATTACTATAGTTTTGATGTTTCTAGAAAAAGTAGCGTACGACGTCTTTATATAATAAAAGAAGAAAAAGATTGTTGTGATCACGCCAGCTCACGTGCACCTAATGATGGCATCGTACTTAGACTTTCAAATCTTCGGCCATCTGGCTACTGGTTGAGAGAATCGCCTCAGGCTAATAAACGAATTTTTCCTCAAAATCGTCTTTAGTATCCCAAAAATCTAATATTAAAAAACTGTGAATTAAGAATATTTTACTACATACATATCGCTTTGTATCAAGAGATCATTTATGTGTTTTGTTTTCCGTATGACATCTAATTTTCGGTAAAATTACTATTTAAGTTTTTCCTCATTAAAAACGTGTAAAAAAGAAATACCTACATAAT